CTGGGTTAGGTGCAGTGATTTTATAGAAGCGTGAGGAATATTGTTGGCAAACAGTGGCATATCCAGCCAAATCACTGACTGAGGTAGAAACCAGATACACACAGATCCAGAAGGAGCTTTTAGGAATATTATTTGCCTGTGAGAGATTCCATCAGTATATTTATGGCCAGACAGCGGAAGTTGAAATGGACCACAAGCCCTGGATAGTGTTATTTAGCAAACTGTTAAATGACTGCACCTTAACGATTCAAAGCATGATGATAAAGCTGCAAAAGTATGATTTGGTTGTGACCTACACTCCCAGTAAATTCATGTTCACTGCAGATGCACTTTCCATGCGTCTGACGAAGTGGGTATTCACCCATGAAAGCTTATGCTTCAATACATCTGTTAGTCTTTAAGGTGCCACAGGACTCTCTGTGGCTTTTTCCAGAGCAGTGGCTCCCACGAAACCAGAGAAGCCTTTAGAGATAGAAATGCAAGCCTGTGTAGATTTGATTGTAAAGTCAATTCCCATAGCTATCAGGAAACTGCAACAAACAAGAGGGGAAATGGAGAAAGATGAATAATTGGGGATCCTTAAAGAAGTGATCATTAAAGTGTGGCCTGAAGAAATAAGCAGTTGCTGTCCAAGTATAAGAGACTGTTGGAAGTGCAGACATGAACTTGCTGTGATAGATGGGGTGGTTTTCAAGGGCAGTAAGGCTGTAATTCCAATGAGCTTCTGAAAAGAAATGCCACAGAAGACCCACGAGGGTCATTTAGGAATTGAAAAGTGCAAACCATGAGCACGAGGGGTGCTGTACTGGCTGCGGATCAACCAGGACATTACTAATGTGGTAGGAAACTGCTTTTCATGCTTGAACAAGCCAAGCCAACAGGCAGAGCTGCTGAGACCTCACCCAGTTCCACAAAGGCCTCATGAGAAGGTTCATGCTGACTTATTTACCTGGCAATCAAAGGATTATTTAATAGTCACAGATTATTCTCTATAGCCAGAAATGTGCACGCTGCACAGTACTAATAGTAAATCAGTGACAGCTGGCATGAAGGGAATCTTCTCCAGACATGGAATTCCAGATGAAGTCTTTAGTGATAATGAGCTGCAGATTTTAGGCAATTTGCCCTAGATTGGGATTTTCATCACAAAACATCAAGTCCGAATTACCCCCAATCAAATGGACTTGTGGAAAAGTCTCTACAGACAGTAAAGAACCTTATGAAAAAGATTTTTGCCAATGGGGGTGATTGGTGTAAAGTGTTATTGGTTTACCGAAGTGCACCTCTGGAGAATGACTTTTCTCCAGCTGAGCTGTTAATGGGAAGAAGGCTCAGATCTAATGTACCAATCACTGATAACTTGCTAAAATCTCATATCAATGAAACCACATGGAAATGAAAGAAAAGCAGTGGAAGCAGAAATATAATTTTGACAAAAGGGCCAGTGCCTGAGGAATCACACCTCTGATACTTGGAGCCAAAGGGGTTCCATTAAAGAACAACTGTGTCCAAGGTCTTATGTAGTCCACATAGCCAGGGGGACCCATTTTGGCATAACTGAAGGGATCTACGAGTAATCCCAGAAAGTTCCAACACACTGACAGCTGAGGTGCACTCTGGCATTTCCCATCTGACTGATCCTTTATCATCAACAGAGAAAGGAGAAACTGTCAAGGAACAAGAGAACAATTCAGACTCTAATGAAAGAAAAGACTGATATTGAGAAGATTGGAGAGGGAGTCCTGAAAGACTCAGAGACATGCTAACCTGCCTGGAGAAGGGGTAGTTGAGAAAAGTGAGTGGGGAAGACTCGCTCCAGAGTGATGTGTTGGTAACCTCTCCTCTCTAGGGAGAGGACACGCTGGGTTTATGGAAACGTACTAGATGGGTTGAGAATTTAATGCATGTGTTATTAGATAGTTGTTAGCTGTTAATTTTTGTTTTTCGTTAAGAGGGACGATATAGAGACATGTTTGTGGAAGATTATAATTTAGAGACGCTCCCTCATAAGGGATCGTATGATAAATACAGGAATTTAGAGAGGTGCCCTGGAAGTGGAGGTGGAGAACCCAGTGTAGCTGTGCACAGTACATCACCCCAGACACTCTTTAGTTTGGTTTATTACAAGTTTTATTCCTTTCTCATTCCCTGGCTGGATGTTTAACGAACCCCAAGATTGTTACACAATTCCCAATTCCCACCCTGTCACAGACCTGCCTGTGTGACCCTGGGCAAGACACGCAGCCTCTCAGTGCCAGCCCGCACCTGCCCAGGTCTGCCTGCCCTGCCCTGCCCGGGGGCAGGGGGAAAGCCATTAGAGAGTGTGGGTGCGTTGAAGCCTGCTGCTGACATGTGCTCTGTAAGACCCAGGGGTTGGTATTAGTGAGGCCCCGGGCCAGGCCTGACTGCGTTTGGCTCCAGGCCCTGGCTGGCCACTGACTCGTCCGAGGGGCGGGTGGCACATACACATCTCACATACCCCAGGTAACATGCGGCTCCTCAGAGCTCAGCACGGACACAGCTTTCAGCCACACTGCAGAAAGGTCAGAGGGGAGCAGAGCCCACCACATCATTGCAGCCATGTACTACCAAGCCCTCAGCTCGCCTACGCTGCCCGTCACTGGGCTCCTCTAGCACAGCCTGGATCCTCCCAGCTTTGGCCACGGCCCGGCTTCCCAGGCCAAACCCGGCCGGACATTGCCAGATGTCACACACAGCCTGGCAGTGAGCCAGAGCCAGCACAGCGCTGGGGGGCACCTGGGCGCCCCCTAAATCCCACTCACTCCCCAGTCCAGTGGGAATTCCACCCACCCAGAGCAAAGGGACACCCACCCGTCACCGCCAGGCCTACGCCTGCTCTGCCACCACTCCCGAGGGGAGTCGTTCTACAACCGCCGTGTTCAGTGGGTGCAGGCTGAGCCCTGCCTGGGCTAAGGCCTGGGTGGGGGGATTCCGCTTTTAGAGTCCCCTGACTCCCCCCAGGCTCCCCAGGGGGTTTCTGATCCAGCCCTATGCAGTGCAGGAAAAGGGAAGTGGTTCTAAGCAGTGCCGTACCTGTCATGGGCAATGAGAATGGCCGAGAGCTGCTGTGTGACAAAGGCCATGTTCGCCCAGGCCTGGGGTCTCCTGATGGACGCTTGGCAGAGACTGAGCAGAACCCGAACATGCTGCTGTTCCAAGCGCCAGTGATGCTGCCCTGGCACGGTTCCTCTTTACAAATCAATCCTGCGCCCCTGGCATTGCTCCCACCCCCACTGCCAGTCTGACCTCGCAACTAAGCACAAGCTGGGCTCTGAAGCCTGGCGCAGCCTAAGAAAGCAGTGGCTGGAAGAGCAGGCTGCTGCATCCTTTGAGATCTGTCCAGATCCAAATTCAAAGCAGCTGGGTATGACTCCATCAGACGTGGGGCTGGAGTGCATCGTCCAGAGCCCCTAATTCAGTGGGAAGGTGCCGCATTCGGGGCTAGCTGTTCAGCTCCGCAGCACAGGGTTAAACCTGAGTCAGTGAAAGGAGTCAGTGGGGTTTGCACAGTCCCGACTGGATATTCGTGCACAACACACCGATTGACACGACTGTCAGGTGCTGCTCAAGACCAGCGAGGCTGCAGCAGCCGGAGCGGTCAGCGCTGACGCACAGCAGCAGATCGGCAGGAGGGGAGGGTGCCCAGCTAGCCCCTTCTCTGGCCTGGGACAGCAGGTTGGCACTTTCATCACAAGGTGCAAAATTTCACTGTCTTCCCTGCTCAAGGCTTTGCCAGCTGCCATCTCTCCCTCCTGCTGGCAGTCCTTGCCCAGTCTTCCCCAGAGAGGGAGGCTGGGCAGACTGGAAGAGAAGCTTGCACAGTATTTCCCCAGGGCAGTAGGGAAGGAGATGGCTTTCCAGGACAACCCTCGCCATAGGGCACAGCATGGGACTCCCTGCAATCCCTCCTCAGTCTTGCCTCCAAATTCACAAGTCAGGGCCCCCAACGTCATGAGACTGGCTGAAAAATCATGAGATTTTAAAGAGAGAATAAACGGGGATTCCTTTTCTTTTCTTCTGCTTCCTCAGCCTGCAGGGGTCCTGTTTTCCAGCCTTGCTCTACAGATTCATTTTTAAACAAGTCACTTTCCAGTCCATGTAAGTTGAGATCCCACAGTCACCTGACTTGTGGAGCTGGGGCTTTCAGAAAACAACATGGTGAGACTCACGACTAAATCGCAAGTATTGGCAACACTGCGTGACCCGCTGTAACCTGCACAACTCGCCTATCGCCAAACACTGGGTCTATGATTAGATCGATAGATAGGGAGTGTGAGGTAATATCTGTTATTGGACCAACTTCTGTTGGGGAAAGAGAAACTTCCAAGCTGCCCAGAGCTCATTGGCAGGTCTGCAGACAGAGACACGTTGCACTTTGTGTGCTAGCAATAGTAGCTGAGGCTGGAGTTTTAACACTTAACAAGCAGGACGTGGTCCAAGAACTGGGATCCGCACCAAGCAGCATCTGCCTCTCTCACCCCACAGGGTTGTCCCGCCCCATCACACAGCCCCTTTGCACCCTACTCCCCAACTCGGTGTTACTAGTTCATTTCAGTACAGCCAGTGTGAGCCAAGTCTCCACGGGAAGCCTTCCAGTTCCACTGTACTGCCCGCCCAGCCCCAGGGAATGCCCGGTGCCACGTGAGCAGTTCATTCCTGGATTTGGATTCCAAGCCCTGCCAGGTCCCGTGGGGGGTTAGGATCCGGGGTTTAGGTTCAGTGCCATCTCCACTGGGATGAGGAGAAGGGAGAGAGGGCTGAGCATGGCTGTACTGCACACACGTACCTGCCTGTGGAGAGCCCTCAGCCAGACAGGCAAAGTGCGGGGGGAGATGGAAATTGGGGCCTCTCTTGAGATAAAGTGACAGCCCCTTTCTCTGCCCCCGCCGGGGTATTCCATGGATAGAGAGGCTGCCGTTCCCCACCCACCCACTACCGTGCAGTGCGCAAGGTACGGAGCCGTTTGGCGTTATTTTTACCTGTTTGGCAGGGAAGTTCTGGGCAGACGATCTGCGGATCTGAAACGAGAACAAAGGAGCAGCTAGTGAGATGGTGCCGCCCCATCTCAGCAGCAGGCCAGGCCTCTTGCTCCCATGGTGGGCGAGGACACACATGGGGGTGGGTGCTGCCCATGGGGATCTGCTCTCCGGTTGGTGAAGAGCCGGCTGTGCTGATCTGCATTAGGGAGATGCGCTCTCCAGTGTAACTGACCCAACTACATGCATTGTCACCCGGTGGTACCGCACTGTGTGCTGAATACAATCAACCAACTCGCACCCCAGCCCCAGCCTTGCGCGGTGACTGAGCCAGGGTGGCAGGTGCAGACCTGGGCAGAGGACGTCCTCCATCTTGTCAATGAATTCCTCAGCCACCAGCTCCGAGAAGAGCTTCATTTTCTGGACGTGCTGCTGGTCGTTGCATGCAATGGACTGCAGGGTCTCGTCCTGGTCTGGCTGGTTGAACATGTCTCCGATGCCGATGGCGTTAACGATCACGTCTCCCTGGCAGAAGGCCCGGAGGTTGATGTCGTCGTCCCGCGGATCGTGGCGCCCGTCTGTCACCACCACGGCAAACACACGGGCTTTCTCTCGCTTACTCTCCTTGATGAGCTTGTTGTAGGCAAACTGCAGGGCGGAGGGTGTCCAGGTGCCCCCGGCGATCCACTCCAGACGCTTCACCGCCTCCTTGAAGTTGGACAGCGAGTTGATGCGCTCGTCGTTGAGCTGGATGGCCTCGAACGTCCCCTCGTGGCTGTACTGCACCACCCCGACCCGGGCACCTGCAGGGAGACAGATGGTCACACCCCGCCATCCTCACTCCCTTGGCGCCCTCCCCCAGCTCACTGGGGTGTGTTCCCTACACAGGGCACATGCTGGCACCACACTATACATGCCAAACTGTCTGGGGAGGGCACCATCACTCAGGACTGCTGCATGGCAGCATCACATGTGACATCATGACACTGCCATGCTGCATCATGTATGCCAATGATTTGCACCAGTGACATGCACTGAAAGACAGAATGGTTTCACGTGGTCAAAGTGCTGACATGGTGTTAAAAAACAACAAACAATTCCAATTCTCTCAGGCTCTGAACAATAGAAAACAACCCGGATTTTTGTATAGAACAATCCAGGGCTGCCCAGAGGATTCAGGGGGTCTGGGGTCTTCGGCGGCGGGGGGCCCCTGCCGCCGAATTGCCGCCGAAGACCCGGCGCTTCAGCAGCGGGTCCCGGGGCGGAAGGATCCCCCGCCGCCAAATTGCCGCCGAAGACCTGGAGCGGAAGAAGCTCCGGGGGGGGCCGGTCCCCACAAGAATTTTCCGGGGCCCCTGGAGCGAGTGAAGGACCCTGCTCCAGGGGCCCCGAAAAACTCTCATGGGGCCCCTGCGGGGCCCGGGCCTGGGGCAAATTGCCCCACTTGCCCCCTCCTCTTGGCGGCCCTGGAACAATCCTAATACAATAATAATCTAAAACACCAATCCCTTATTGCTGTTCTAAAACACAAATCCCTAATATGAAGCTAAAGAGCACCCCAAATCATATTGCCTTACAGTTTAAAATGCTGACCCATCTCTCACAGGTTTTGATAGCAAGTGGTAACACTTCTTTAAATCTTACATTTAAACATTCCCTTTACAATCAACAAACACACATTCATCTTTATTAACCTATGCACACACATACACACTCCCACTGTCCTACACGACATGCTAGTATTGTCTGACAGATTTATTCCACTTGCTGACTGTTTCTCCCGAGTTCTCTCTCTCTCTGCCTCCCTCTGCTGCTAATGTCAATGGACCACCCAGCAAGCTTCTTCCTTCTCTCTTGTTCTCTCCTGTCAGCGCCCAGCCTCCTGACGCCTTCGGCTGCCCACTGCCACACTGACTTTTCTACTGTCCTGTCAGAACTGGCTAGGCACCTTTGCTAATCTCTCTCCTGCGCATGCCCACATTCCAAGCATGCCGGAACGCATGCCAGCAGTCCTAGCAATCCCACCAATTTCCATTACCTCAGAGTTATGAGCTGCTGATCTTTCCCCTAATTTGGTTTTCCCACCAATTTTACTGTGACCTTTAACCTCCATTTAATGGTGGAGTGACTCTTGCTTATTTAACATGGGAGCCAGGGACACAGAATGGAGTTTCTCTGGTATCTTGGGAGCCTGCGGATGAGGGGAGGGAGTCCTATGAGAAACAAGTGACTGCCCCCAGCAATCAGGAGGGCTGGGAGACAGTCAGCAATGGCAGACGGCCATGTTATGAACATAGCAGCAGCCGCTTCCCGGGCTCTCCTCTGGTTTGGAGCCCAGTCTGCACAAGGACATATAGGCTGCTTGCCATATGGACGCCTCCCTTAGGGCCAGGGCCGGCTCCAGGTTTTTTGCAGCCCCAAGCAAAAAAAAAAAAAGGGGGGGCCGGGGGGCCGCCCCTGGAAAAGTGCCGCCCCAAGCACATGCTTGGAACACTGGTGCCTAGAGCCAGCCCTGCTTAGGGTGGGTGGTTAAGAGGTGGGAAAGTTGTGGGGGTCCAAGGGCCTCATCTGTCTCTCCCTCATAGCCCCCCACCATTGCTCACACGCACTCCTCACCTGTCTCTGACTTGGGGTCCTTGGCAATGGAGCCCAGGCGGCTGACCACGTTGATGACAAAGTTCTTCTCCAGAGAGAAGTTGGTGTAGCCGATGCTTTCGGAGCTGTCTATGACAAACACGATGTCCAGGGCACCACAGCGCTTCTCACAGTCTGGGGATGGGAGAGAGGAGCGGATCACAGGGGGACAAGGCCAACAGGGACTGCTCAGAGAGCAGGGAGGGTCTCCACCACATGGGAGGCCGTCCACGGGAAGATCCCACATCAGATCCCTGCCATCCTACCTGAAGGAAAGTGAAGCTATCCACAGTCAGCTGGGAACCTCTGGGAGGAAACTAAGCTGATGCTCTGTGGCAGGTGGCTGGATGCTCATTAGCCTTATCTGAGTTTGCGGAGCTGAGTGAATTCTCCAGCCCTTTACACACCCAGCTCAGCAGGGACTCAGTCCCTGTCCCTGGCAGGGAAGGCTGTGACTGGCTGTGACCCACCATTCCCTGATGTCTTTCTCTGGCACCTCTGCTGGGAGAGCACTAGAGACCGGCCGGGCTGTCTCACACCGCGATGGCTCAGCATGCAGGGCAGCGAGCAGAGGCCGGCGCGGACGGTCAGGCCCAGCAGGGGTGTCGTTATTTCCCTGAGTCTGAGCAGTGGGTTCTGTGTTCTGCTGGCAATTCCATCGCCCCAACGGGCAGGGCATGCTCAGCACGAACGGTGCCAACGGGCAGCAGCTGTGTGTGCGGACGATACTGTCTGTGAGCAAACCCACTATAGTCCTGCTCTGCCCCAACTCTGAGGCCGTCAGTGGCACATAGGGGAGAGCTGGCCCTCTCCTCGGGGGCGAGGTCTGCCACGTACGACCTTCCTGCTAACACCACAGGCGCGGAGGGGGATGACTGGGGAGGGACCCCCAAGGGACACACAGCATGCTCCGGGTTCAGAGCCAAGCTGCTCAGCGCTGGCCGAGCCCCCAAAGAGAAGAGCATTGGACTGACCGCAGCAGCCGCAGGTTTCTCTCACGTAGGTCATCACATCGCATTCCTGCCAGCAAAACACAAGGAGCAGAGCGCTGGTGAGTGCCAGCCTGCCCGTAGGGTGGGAGTGCCCCCACCATTCCCGGCCCGCAGCACAGCTTCCCTTCTGCATTCCCTCCCTCAGACTCCACTTTGGCTGTGGCCAGTCCCACGCCGCTCTCCTGCTAGTGCTGCGGCCAACAGGGGCATTCACTGCTGCTCTGTGCTACGGGGTGAGTCCAGCCAGAGCTGCATCCCTGGCACCAAGAGCAGGATCTGCCTCGGAGTCTCAGTCCCACTCAGCATGCCGCAGGGGAAACCGTCCCTGGGTGGGCGTCATCCCCCCGCCCCCCAGCTGTATCCGTAGGAGGTCATTAGGAACCTGTCTCTACTTACGGTTAGGCCAGGATCTCCGGGTGAGCCCGGGCCACCCTGTAAGAAGAACACAGCTGTGTCATGCCCTTTCCTGGACTCACCTTTGGGATCTAGTCACAGCTGCCTGCTGGGGCTGGATTCATGCAGGCGCTGGCAGGAAGGGAACAGTAACAGCCCCAGACTGCCTAGCTGGAATCATTAATGGCTGGCCCACAAGGGAGCCGCCCCCTGCCAGTCCGGCAGGGGGAGGCCCTACCAGGACTTCTTCAGCCTAGCTGCTGCAAGCATGCATAAGATGGAGGGAGAAAGGGAGCAGCTGGGCGCAACCGATCTGACAGTGCCACGGTACGGTACCTCGTCGCCCTTGTCGCCTTTGTTGCCTCTGAGGCCTCGTGGGCTGGGTGGGCCGGGGTCACCCTGGCAGGAAGAGAAAAGGAATGAATTTGACAGGCATGACATGGGCGATACTGCTGAAGCAAGAGCCCCCCCCACACCCCAGCTGAGTACCCCAAGGGCCTTGCCTCTCCTGCTGGACACTAGCTCCTAGCCACAGGAGTGGCTGTGCTCTACTCAGGCAGACCTCACTGCAAACATTTGGTTCCTGGTACGGGGGCCATGTGTGCTAAGGGGCCAGGTAGGCAACACGTCCAGCATCCAGCCACATGCAGGGTGTGCTCTGGTCTTGTAAGTGGCATGGCCCATAAGCTGCCAGTTTGTCCCCCAGCCAGAAATCTGAACCAGTGATCCCAGCTACACTCCCAGTGCAATGAGACAGGCATTGCCCAGGCTGGGGCGCAGTAGCAATGCCAGGTGGGTGCTCTATTGACCTTTAACCTGGCTTGCTCACACCCAGGCGCCCCAGAGGCTAGACGTGCAGAACAGCAGGGTCCGTATGTCGTCCCCTCTACCTCTGCCAGCAAGGGTGCCCTGCCCACGATAGGAAAGCAGGGCCTGGACATGGGAGCGGCACTGGCAGTGTACTTACAGGATCCCCTTTGCCTCCTTTCAGCCCAGGCTCGCCTTTCTCTCCCAGGTCACCCCTTCCACCCTGTTCAAAGGAGGAAGAGAGATGTGATGGCAGTCCAGAGCATGTGCTGGGAAAGCTGCATTGCTGTTAGACACCAGCGGTGCCCAGGCTGATCTCCTGCCCCAGAAACGCAGTCCGCGCACAGGTCACCTGTCGTCAAGGAGCCCCAGGCGTGCGGAAGAGGAAGTGGGATTTCTGCAGACATCTGGCTTTCCCAGCCATTCATTTCAGAAGGGGGACGCTTTATGAAACATCAGGTTACTACTACAAAAACACATGCCTGGAAGAGCTCCAGGGCCAGGTGTGTCAACGGGAGAGCTTGGTGATCCTGTGCATGGGACTAACTCCTGCTGGAAGTTAGACAGCTACGTGTAGCCCTAGTGCTGAATGCTGCACCGAACGGAGATATGCCTGGCACATGTCAATGTGCACCATGCAGGGGTAATTACTGTGAAGTACGTAGGGCTTTTGGCAAGCTGAGGCTCGGTAATTGCTGCTAGCATGTAGCTATCTGCCTCTGAGTGTCACCACTAGATTGCAGCGTTTACCAGGGTAGCATCCAGAGGCCCCACCCTGGATTGGTGCCTCATTGTGCTAGGTGCTGTACAAACCTGGAATGACCAACATACGAAGTGTGAGGGCGAGGAGGATAACTGACTGTATACCTGTGTGTCCTTAGTTACTCTGGATAGTTCACCTAGTACCACCCCGCCTGTGCCCCTCGGCCCACCACCAGCACACAGAGCCTGGGCTCTGTGATGAGGAGAAATGCCGCTGGTAGCCCATTGCTGTGGGTGGAGCCCTCCCGGCCCACACCAAGCCCAAGCTGAGGCCTGCGTGTGGCACTAGGGGCCAGGCCAAGGCTCCCTGGAGGCTGGGGACAGACCCCTAGTGATTCAATGGGCTGAACCAGTGCCCTGTGGCCTCTGCAGGGTTCTCAGTGGGGGCTCCTGACCACCTGTGCACAGTTCCAGCGGCCCCTCGGCTGGCCCAGCCCCACTATTCCCTGAGGGACGACCCCAGGGGCAGGGCACGCCATGGCTCCCTGCACGGCCACTGTGCCAGCTCCCCTTGCCCGGGGCGGCAGCGGGCCTTGCTAGGGCCCTCCCCAGGCTGGATGCCACCCTGAGGGCACAGGTCTGTCAGTGCCAGGGCAATGCTAGGGTTGGAAGACAGTTATTTCTCAGCATCCTCCCTGGACTGCGTGTGCTGAGAGAGGGCAGCGCACACAGCGACACTAGCCCCTGTGTCTGTGTGTACACACATCGCTAAACCCAACCAAATGGATCAGGGTCCTGCACACCCTTCCCCAGGTGAGTCACCCCTGGGACCAATGGGGCTGCTGGTAGGACACAGGTCACCAGGTTAGTGCCCCCTGGGATCAACAGAGCTGCTCGCAGGTCACAGTTCAGCCATGCCCATCAGTGCAGGGTTCCTCTGTCACTCATTGACAGGCCAGGAACTAACTGCTTAGCTCAGTGGTTAATTCGATAGCCTCATAAATACATCCCCCCCACTGCCCCCCCCCCACACACACACCCCGTACCTCTGGACCAGGTGACCCATTCTCGCCTTTGTCGCCCTGGGAACAGACAGGAGTTAGTTAGCTTCAGTTTTGTGCTGGATTGAAATTTGCTGCACATGTGCCCAGAGACAACGGTGATGGGCACATTTCAAAATAATACACCAATATACTTGTGGCCTGGTTTGAGGAGGGGGTTGAGCCCCTGCAACTCCCCTGGACTTCTGTGGGGACTACAGGTCCCCAGCACCTCTGACAGCCCAGCCAGAAGAGCCCACTGGAGTCAGTGGGAGGCTTTCCACAGTCGAAGGGGCTCTGGCTCTGGCCCTGAAGCCCCACAAGCGAGTGGATGACGGCTGTAAGCAGAGGGTAAGATTCCCCGGCAGAACTGTGGTGGGAACACATAGCACTGCACAGCTGGCTCAGGCTAGGATAATCCGCAGGCAGCTATTTAACACACAGACCAGTCAGTCGCCTATTCAACGCAGAGTCTGATTCAGCGGGGATGTTTAGAGCAGGTGGCTCTTGTACCAGACCTGCATTCCTCACACCACCTTTAGCCATCAGGGAGAAGCAGATACGTAACATGCAAACCCTAGTTTATTACCTGAGGGAACCTGAACCTCCAACAGGACCATTATGTTCCTACTGATTCAGGGGAGCAATAATGCTTCATCCTGACAATGGAACCCTCCTGCCAGCCTCTCACCGCTCCTTCCACGCCTGCCCCTCTGCTGTGTGGGAAGGATTCCCCACTGGTTTCAGCTGCAGAGTGATGCCAGGCCGCTCAGCTGACTGCCACGCTATCGCCGGGACAGCAGCTTTCCCCTTTCTCCGGATCTGGCTCCAACAAGGCTTCCTCCCAGAAGCTCCCTCCTCTGCGTCTCTCAAATGACTCAGCCCGGAGAGCTGGGACTTCCCCTGCACAGCCTGCTGCAGCCAGAGCACCTAGTGTGCCGGGCAGGAATGTGCTGCCTGAGCCCTGTGGCCGATTAGCCACTGGGCCAATGGGACCCATGGCCAGGGGCCCCGGCCAATTGAGGGCCCCCAGAAAAATGGGTGCCCCTGTGCCCCAACTCGCTCCGCCTGCCCGGCGCTCCTGCGACCCAACCCCCTTTCCCCAGCAGGAGTGCAGGGGGGAAGCTGTGGGGACTGCAAGTAGAAGGGGTGGGGAGGGCCCCCCCACTTGCTCTGACCCAGGGCCCCACAAAAGCTTAATCCGCCTCTGCCTGAGCCATACATACCTTAAGTCCTATGGGGCCAGGGTAGCTGAAGCCAGGTCTGCCTTGGTCTCCCTTTGGGGGGAAAGAGAGAACGGTTCAGTGAAGCCAGAATGTTAAAACCCAGCACGGGCTGAGCTAGCGACGCCAGTGAGTCGGGGAGTTTCTCTCTCTAGAAGACATACCCGCAATCTCTGCATTTGGGTCACTGGCTTAGCTAGCCGCTGGGCCCTGCAGCGCTCTAGAAGGAGCATCCTGGTTTGTAAGGCAGAGGAATGGGGCTAAGAGAAGCCATGGACAGCAATGACTTCAGCACAGGACTCTGAAACCAACAGCACCAGCCTTCCAGAAACAGCAGGGCTGCCTGACAGGAGGAGAGTTTGGACAGGGAGCCGGCGTGGGCCTGGACGCTTCACCCAGGTGTCACCAGCGTGGCTTTGGCCAGGGGAAGGACTAAGCTGCCACGGCTGGAGGGGGCAGGTGAGAACCCAGAGTGGGTCTTAGAGGTGCAGACTGAGGTGGGGGCGTTCACTGCCCCCATGGAGTACACAGGTGAAGCCGTTGGTTCCCCCCTTTCTACTGCACTGGACATACGTCTAGACTTTACCTTTTGTCCTGGGGGCCCTTGGTTGCCCCTTGGGCCCTTGTCGCCTGGGTTCCCACTAGATCCCTGCAAGACAGCATGGGAGAGAGCAGGATAAGCAGAGGACACTGATCGCACACTGGGCCAGGGCATGGTGTTGTGGATGGCTTGGGGGATACGCGGGGTTAAAGTAACACAGAACAATTCCACATTTCAATTGCTGCTCGCGTCCCCGCAGGGCCCATGCACCTAACTCTTCTGGCATTAATGGGCTCCAGGGGGAAACCACTACTGCCACCAAGTGACGCTGGAATTAACCACAAACTAAACCAGGGCACAAAGGGGCAGCTCTGGCCAAGCGACCAGGAAGTCAGGCCTGAGAGAGGCAGTGCAGCCTAGTGGACCGAGCACAGCAGCAGGAGCCACTGAACGGGCCCTGGATTCTGATCCTGGCTCTGTCCCTGTGCCCATCTGTAAAACATGCTGGCCCCACTGCTGGGAGGTGGGAAGGGTGAGCGGACGTTCGTATCATTCTTTGTAAATACTGGGGGCTGTTATCAAAGTCACTCACTATTCCGCAATCACCGGGAAACTTACAGGCCTGCCTGGTTCTCCCTCGACACCCTGCGGGCCTCGGGGCCCCGGCAGTCCTCGATCGCCCTTGAGGAACAAAGCAAGGAGACAGGTCACCACACTGTGAGCAGACAGGCACACACCAGCTCTCAGCATCCAACGGGCAGTGCAGAGTGTACGCAGCACCGTCAGGGCAGGTGCCACTGGCAGCAGGGCATTGGATGGGGTGGGGTCAACCAGGGCACCTGGGCAGTCCTAGGCTCCCATCTGGGCACCTCTGAGTGGTGAACCTTTTGCTGTTAGCGTCCCCTCTCCCAGGGGAAGCCTCTCGCTGCTGCTCCGGGGGTGCAGATTGCCCGAGGGACGCTCTCCTGGTGCTGTACTATCTCATGGCAGAGCGTCTGCCTGAGCACACAGTGCGATGTGCCCTTCCCCGGCTGACACAGGACAAAGTGCTCAGCATTCGAACTCTGCTCCCCGGGCAGGGCTATGCTATCGGGGAAGGCCTAGCTCAGCGTTCCTGCCAGGGGCGGTGCCAGTGGGCCTCTTTCCCGCTTCCTCTGCTTTGGGCCACCCCCCGGCTGGCTCTCTGGGGGCTCCTTCCCAGCTGACATCCCCCCGGTCAGCCACAAGCAGCTGCCTCTCCATCCTGGGGCCAAGCACAAGAGGGGCAGCAGGTGGCCAGGGCTTCTCACGTTTGTGGCATTGTGGAAAGGGAGAGAAGGGTTAAAGAAACCTCTCTCCAGCACCCAGATTACAGGGACGTGGCTGTGGGGGGCAGGTATTGGGGAGAGGGAAATGTGGCTTCCCACACCAGGCTCCGATCTCCTTATGGCTGGGAGACCTGCCTGCATGACCGTGCACAGCATCTGGACAGATTCCTGCCCTCTGCGCAGCCCTCCCGTGTGATGGAGGTCAGCACGAGGGGACACGCAGCAGGCAGGCTCGGCTCTCGCACAGCCACGGGCAGCAGCTCCACACGGGGTTGGAGAGCAGGGCCTGCCGGGGGCTCGGAGGAAGGGCACACGCGCTGTCGTCGGAAATGGGGGGCGGATATTCCGCACACTTTGTGGAGACAGCTCCTCTGAGGGCCGCCTTGCAGGGGGCGATCCTGCACGGGCTTGGGAGAGCTTCAATGGCCAATGAGCCATTCCCTCTGCTGGCTGCCCCGAGCCTGTAATTCGTGCTTACCTTTGCTCCTTTGCTGCCAACTTCTCCAGGCAGGCCCCGGAGGCCTTCGGGGCCGGGGTCTCCCTGTTGGCAGAAAAAGGTCGTAAGATACGCTCACTGTCCGGCGCTGCCCTTGGGCCGTGTCTCAGCTGATGAGGGCCCCAGCCTCAGGCGCCACCTCAGGAGAGGCCCACGCCCAGTTCCTTTCTTTGGGGTGGGTGCTGCAAGGGCAAGGTGTCCTCAGCCCCCCTCACAGCCTGGAGTGTCCACCCCTGCCCTCTCTCCGCCCCCTCAGCCCCAGGTGAGGCCCCCCTGACTCCAGGTGGAGCAGGACCACCCCAGCTGCTCCTGCGTCTGCTAGTGGGGTTGCTAGAATGCTGCGGGGCACTCCTCTACCAGAGACCCCCCCACTCCATGACTGCAGGAGCCAGGGCCTGTGTGGGGGTGGACGGACGGCTCTGTCTCTCAGGGTATGGATCCGAAGGCAGCCCACGTCCATGCCTCCCTCCTGAGCTGCCCCTTCCTCTGAGCTGAGGTTGGAGAGCCCGGCTCAGCCCGTGCACTCAGCCTGCTCGCCTCCCGACTGTCCGATTGGCAGGAGCAAGTGTGCCCCAGCCAAGCTCGGCCTGCCTTTGCTGTCCCCCGGGGCCGCAGGAGGGGAGACTGGGGCCCATAGGTAGCTTGGTAGCATTGTGGGGAGGCTCTCAGCCCGACCGCTGTGCACGTCATCCCCTGCTGTGCTCTGGTGCCCTTGCACTCACCTTCTCTCCCTTGGTCCCAGTGGTCCCCGGGCTGCCTTCTGTGCCTGGATCCCCGCGACGACCCTGCGCACACAGACACCAATCAGAGAGACGGGACTCAAAGGTGGAAACCAGCCCAGTTAACCTGCTGCGGCTTTGCTGCCCTGCGATGTCCCCGCTCCCCACCCGCGATTCACTTCTCCTTCCTCTCCCTCGGCAGCGCGTGGCCCCCGGGACGGGAGCAGAGAGCACCCAAGGCCTCGTTGTGCTGCGCTGCCCTGTGGTGTGAAGCGGTTGGGTTTGTTGTTAAGCAAGAGACGAACATTTTCTTAGGAGAGTCATCACAGCGCAGCTCCCACAGGGATACAAATGGTTAATTCCGCTCTGCTAAAAACGGGGCTTTAGTTCTAGCTTGAATTTGCCTAGCGTCAGCTTCCAGCCATTGGAACTCATCTACTGACTCCAACAGATCGACTCCGATTTACCCCCCTGCCGGGGAGCTGGCCAATCTGCTCAAAGGAGCTGTGCCGATTTACCCCCCCGCCAGGGAGCTGGCCAATCGGCTCAAAGGAGCTGTGCCGATTTACCCCCCC